AAAAATAATATAGAATTTCATAGACTCGAGCATTCGTTTCTGTATAATTGAAAATACCATGAATTTTAATCTTTACCGATGCTATTAAAATATCTTGGAAATGATAATTTATTTTTACTTATTTCTTATGAAAAGTTAAATCATCATTATTAAGAATGAGTTTTTTTTACTTAAGTAAAAAAAAAAAAACAAATTGAATAATTCAATAACTAACTTGATATTTATTCATTTAAAACAAATTATCATGATTAATTTTAATTGATTTCATTTACAGTACAAATTTATAACATCCTCTATTATTTTAGAGCAATTGATTGGCCATAAAATAAATTTTAAGATATATTATTCTGGCATTGTTGGTGTAAAATAGACTAAGAAAATCCATTCAAGCCACAATGTAGATGTAGTCATGGCGCGAATGAGGAGAATTACAACAAAAAGTTGGCGCTGCTTGCTGGGTTGAGGGTGAGAAGAATACATGAAACTCAGGGATAGCCAAGATTGACGAACGGAGCACAGAGCTTGACTTGATGCCACGTAGCAAAGAACGCCATAAGAAGCCACTCATGTGTATAGATAGACCCACTCATATATTAAAAAAATTGTGAGTGGGTTTATACACGTGATAAAACGGTGGTTGGAGTCCTGACACAAAACTACGTTAGAACTCCCGATGTAATAATTTTTCTAATGATAGGTGTTGCTTAAAATTTGATTAGATTAATCAAGTTTTGAATACAATGAAAATGAACAATCAAAGGTATTCTAAATTCCAAAATAAAAAAATTATTTTCACTTAGTTTTACTCTTGATTAAACACTAAGAAATTTAAAACTCCTGCATTTACAAATGCAATTTTAAAGACCATGCACTTCTAATAAATTCAATTGGACATATCATAAGTTAAGTAAAATAATAAAAAAAAACACATAAATTTATCCAAACTACTGCCGATGAACATATGGAGGTTCCATCTATAGGCAGTGAAAGAGAAATACTTGAATGGACTCAAATTAAAAGAGATGCAACATACTACATGGTTGAACCTCCATATTTGAGGAAAAGAGCTATCTTATAGATCTTGCCAAAATTTGCATAAAATACATCAAGACTTGTGCATTAATCCAAAATGGAAGGAGCCCACCAAACAACTAGCTAAGGCACAAATAAACCACCACCACCATATTAAAAAAAAAAAAAAACACACACAACTTGAATCAATGCTAAAAAATAAAAGACCCGCAAATTAATAGATATCAAAATCGCAAACATAACTAATAAGCATATGAATAAAGCTTTCTTAGTTTTAACCCCACCAATAGGGACCTACCAAACAAACATGATGTATTTGAGAGCACATACTTCACACAAAATTAGCTCATTCCGAGTTACTATTGACACATGGATGCATGGTAAGGAGTATCCCGTTTTAATAGGAGAATTTGGGTTCTCTTACAAAATAGCACCAATTTTAGGAGTTTGCTATAGGAATCTTGACCAATTATTGTATATAAGTAGAAGCATGGTTTGTGATGGGAGAGAAATTCCAAGTGTCATTAAACATATAAATTTTAATGTTAATAAATTTAATTTAATAGCTTATTGTTATAGTCCAAATATAATAATAATAATAATAATAATGCCATAATTAATGCAAAATATTATTATATTTTTAAAATGGAAAATTTGCAAACATAGCACACAATTCTTATTTATTTATATATCTAACACCCAAAGTATGATAATTATATTTATAACACCTCATCGTATAAACCTATTAAAAAATAATGAATTTCACTTTCAAATAGATGGCAATTTTTTTTTTCCGTGATATCAAAGATTTGAGTGTTATACATATAAATATGAATATTTAAGTGTTAGGTAAGTAAACACACGAGAATTATGTTGTATTGTACATCAGAAACAGGTCAACATGAATTTGAATGAGATTCAACGAACCAAGTGACAAATAAATACAACTAAGGAGGACCTACCGATGAAAGGGCAAGGGGCCCATGGGTGAAAGTCCAAAAGATCTATTGGGGGAAGACCAGAGGGCCTACTGACTAGGTGCAGTCCCCTTGAACCACGGCTAGAAGTCGACATATGCAAGCCCCCCGAACCAAGTATTAAGGCTAGTCAAGTCTATCAGAGACATCAACCTACCTCTTATCAAAAATTGACTCAAGGGAAGAGTTGAAAATTGCTAGCCATCTCATGCATACCGTTGAGAATCCTTTTCAGAGGCCAAGAATTGGCTATAATGTAATTCACATAGCATTTCAAAGAACCCCATCGTTAAGGAGCGAGCTACCAATCAGATTACAGTGATTCACCCTCTGTCTGATAGTCTTGCCTTACTCCAACAGTGAAAGTTCCTTATCTGAGATTCATTAGTCGACAATAATATTGGAATAGCTTACCGTCAAGGGTAAGTCGACTGAGTCAAGTCCTACCAACTCGAAGACCATCAAAGATCGGCCTACAACCTTGATTTAGCACAGTCAAACGAACAGGTCCTGCCGAACCAAAATCCACTGATTTCAGCCGACCGAGTCATAAGATAGCTGAGGTATAGACATATAAATGTAAAATACCTAAAATATCCCGTAACACTCTCATTAAAATAGGGACCTCTTCTACATATAGGGAATTATTTTATGAAAAATGTCAAACCAATAATTTAGATTGTCCTCCATTACAGTGCATTTCTCTCTGTATATTTTGATCTTATGCTCAATTTTTTAGGTGTGATTCACAACAAAATAAAATTCAAACACACATGTACGTAATTTCCTTTTTCAAAAATTGATGATATAGCAATGTCAAAAGCTCCTAGATAAAAAAAAATGATTATTTATTTATTTATTTATTTTTATAAAACATGAAGAAAACATGTAAATAACATAATTGATTAATTTGACATGTTAATTATTATGAAAATAAGATAAAAAATACATGTCACAAGTGTGGATCTAAAAGCCCCTTTACAAAATATCACTCAAGTCTTAAGTATATGCATATCTAACACTTAAACTTAAATATTTCATTAATTTAAAGTTAATATAGTGTATTTAAAGGTTATAGGAAAGATTTAAGTGCTTGAAATATAAAGAACTAAAGTTTAGACGTCAGTTATTTAATCATAAAGATGAGGATGGTGTCGTTGGTGTGTATGGAAAATGCCCCTACGGAAATTAGTATTTATTTTATTTTATATTCTGAAATGACATGATAGTAAGTGAATAGAATTATTATATTCCCTGCGCTTTACTGCAAATGATGCGCTAATGTTCCTCATCAGGTCCTTGTCATCATGGAATCTGAATTATTATTTTGGAGATAGACATTAAAATCATATAATTAGCTTCATAATTAGAGGTGTCAATTAAAATCAGTAGATTTATTTTTATTTTGAGTGACTCGAATTAAGTCAATTCGAATCCGACTCGAATAATAAATACTTTAAATTTTTTATAACTCCAAAAATATTCGGACCAACCCTAAACTCGGATTTTTTGAGTCAAATTCGAGTTGGTGTGTCGTGTCAATTTCTGACATCTAAGGATGTCAATTCGAGTTAGCAGGTCAGGTTCGAGTTCAACCAGAAAAGGACTCAATCCGAATCAGGTCAACCCGTGAGTCAAATTCGAGTTGGTGTGTCGAGTCAATTTCTCACATCTAAGGATGTCAATTCGAGTTAGCAGGTCGGGTTCGAGTTCGACCAGAAAAGGACTCAATCCGAATCAGGTCAACCCGAACCCGACCCGAATAATAAAAGAGTCGATTTATCTGACCCGAAACCGGCTCGAAAAGAATGAGTCAACCTTAACTCAAAATTTTCAAGTCGAGTTTGAGCGGTGTTGGCGTGTCGGGCCAATTTTTGACCCCCCCTAAGTTCCACAGCAGAAGGATGGGGGCCCATCCATCAGCATGATGAATAGCTAGTTAGCACTAACTGCTTATGGTCGATCGCTTGGTCCAAACACAGGTGGTCAGCGAGGCGACACGATCGACTTGAGATACAGTTGGAACAAAAAAGTAGGGAGACGGTTAACACACAAATGGAATTTCACAGTCAATGAGGAGGCCAGAAAGACAAGAAGAGTTCGACTGTTGAGATAAGCAGCCAACGTGACTACTGGAGTTTGGCCGACTGTTGAGCGCTCGATCTAATGAAGAGCATGCACCTAAATTTTTACAGATCTACAAAGTTTCTTGTAGATTGCTAGCAAGACATTAATGGAGTGAATCCGTTGATCCACTAGTTCCCCTAATGTGTGCTCTATTTATCTGAAGAGTTTCTCCTCGGTGTTTGATATTGCTCGTCTTCTTGTTGATAGCACGATCTATGTTAACTGCACCTAAAAGAATGATGAATCCAAATGTGTCTGGTAGAATGTGTCTATGGGATAGAGCATTAGGACCGAAAAAAGAAGATTGAGGGAGAGAGGGAGGATGAGAAGAGGAAGAATTGTCCGGACGGAGCGAATGGGGTGTTTTCAAGATTCCATAAAATAGAGAGGTTGCTAGTGTGGGGAAAAAAAGAGACCCTAATACATGTCATAGCCCTCATCTTTTAGGGTCAAGAGTACAAAATTACATTATTAATCTTGTTTAGAAGAGATGAGTAAAAGACATTCTACTCCCCTTATTTTGGACCGTCAAGCTTTTCTAATCACAAGCTTATGAATATAAAATGTACAAGTTTAGTTGTTAGATTTGTAGGAATTAGGTGTTATGCATATAAATATGCCCATTTATCAAGGTAACTATCATATTATGCACAAGCAATTATATTTTTAAATATATCTCCATTAATTATGATTATTTTAACTATGTTTTAATTAATAAATTAAATATTTTAAACTAGTTAATAAAAAAATCACTTCCTTACTCCTCTCCCGCAGGCTAATTTATGGGAAAGATAGAAGACCAATGCACTTAGATGGACAAATACCCCAAAGAACAGTAAAAATCACTTACATACTTTGTCAGCCTTCCAACATATAAAAATTTATTTCCAATTAAATAGAGGCATATATACAGTGATACAGAGTATCCTATGATTATTTTGCACATCATCAAAACTATTTCATAATTTACATGATACACCATTACTTGCATTTGCTTCTCCTCTGAACCAAAGGCAATAGCAGTTCAGTCTCCTTAGCACATCTGTCCGCTTACCACAAAATTGATTGATTTCTTGATACCATTAACTTCATAAAGAAATCAGCCGAACTGAAGTTTCAATCCTTGAATTCTTCTCCATCCTGTCCAGCAAGCCTTTTCTTTTACTCAGGAAGCTAAAGCTTAAGCTCTCCGCCATTAAAAGAACAGCTCCCATTGCTCAACTAAGCTTCAGCTGCTAAGCTCAATAAGCCAGAAACTGATGAATGTATGGGATACATTAAATGCTTCACGCCTGAGAGCCCTTTGTTTTCTCTGCAGCCGCCATCCGAATATCCTCATATGCTTTCATGGCATTAGTTGCGAAATTCGCCATCGACTGAAAAATTTGTCGCAGCGACGACTGAAGATTACTAGGTTCGGACGAGACTACAAGCGGCTCAACTTCCGTGCTAATTGCTCGTGCTTCCCTCTCCCTCATCTTAAACAATCTCTCCATGTCTTTTTTGGCAATCAACTTCTGACGAAGATCGATATCATTCTGTAGCCATAGTTGCTTAATGCTTGCGGCGGAAGAGAGCATGGCTTCCACAACTTCCTTATCTGAAACCCTATCAAGAGCTTGATGCCAGCGATTAAAGATGACGAAGATTGGGGGAGCGCCAATTCTACCAGGAGAATAAGGAGGAATTCCGTCGGCTGTTACTTCTGGTTCATAGTGAAGGCAAAGAACAAGCCAGCTGTTCAATGACTTAACAAAGTTTTTCTGAGAATTTATCCAGGAGGAGAAGCTTCCCATCCATCTCAGTAACTCCATTTCTAGATGCATTATGGCATTCGTGAGTTCATCACTGAAGTTTTCTCTAGATGCAATGGAAACTAGATGAATAACTTCAGTTATTGCCTGGCTTTGAGTTTGATGACATTCCAGCATAACCCTCCACATCCTCTCAAAGCTGAGAAAAAAGAAACTTGGTTAACATTTTTAAATTTCTGGAGTAGAAATTGGAGCTAGAAAGCTTTACAAAAAGTAAACTGAATGTCACTTTTAATTATGGGCATAGAATTTAATTTGGTTGCTCATGATTTGAATTCTGATCTTCCAATAATGAAAAAAGAAACTTGGTTAACATTTTTAAATTTATGGAGTAGAAATTGGAGCTAGAAAGCTTTACAGAAAGTAAACTGAATTTCACTTTTAATTATGGGCATAGAATTTAATGTGGTTGCTCATGATTTGAATTCTGATCTTCCAATAAAGAAAAGCCTGGGAGTTAAAAGGAGAAAATCCACTTTTGCCTTTGATTTTAAAGATGTTGAAAGTGTAAATAAAGGATATTTTAAAAGTTAAAACCTACAGGACTTGCAACAAAGAGAATTATATTTCAATAGGATTAGAATTGAGATCATTAAAGAGAAAAAAATTATACAATATCCTCAATGTCTATATTTGAAACTAAGAACAAGCTCCTTAAATTGCATAATTTCCTCCTCTTTACATAGGAGAAACCATGCTAGCAATTCGATTCCCTCGTATAAAAAAATGTAACCATGTCATAATCCTCATCAACCCCTTCTATTTTGTATGCGGCCCTATCGAACAAAATAAAACTCTTTACATAGGAGAAACCATGCTACCAATTTGATTCCCTCGTATAAAAAAATGTAACCATGTCATCTATTTTGTATGCGGCCCTATCGAACAAAATAAAATAAAACTGTTAATTTCTAGTGAATAGATATGATTGTTGTCCATGGTATAATCCTGGTTAAGTAACAACAATTTAGTCCATTTACTCTGTATACTCAACTTTTATGTTTCCAAACCAAATCCTTGAAAATTTTCACCTTTATTTAACTTTTCATTTATTTCAGCTTATATCAATAATAAAAAATATCATATAAGAAAAGCAACAATAAGTTTCGACATTTTAAATATCATTTATAAGCATCACCATAACCAGCATAACAAAGTCTTGGACTTAATGTTAATCCATGATGTAATATAACAGCATTTGAAAATTCTATGATCACTCCACAACAACTAATATTAACCAATTCTCCATTGTTCATATCTTTACTTCACAACTAACCCACTTCTCCACTTTATAACAAAAAATAATACACATCAATATTCATTCATTATCCATAGAAATAATTTCTTCCTTAAAATTTATCAAAATTCAATCTTCATTTTTCAATGATGGCTTCAGCTTTAACTAGGTTTCTTAAATCTTTGCATGCATAGCGACTGACTCAATCGAAAGCCTCTAAATCTCTTGTGTTGTCCTAATTATACTATATTTATCCTTTTTCTCTTTACTTAGTATCATATGTATTATCACTTATCAAAGTGGGTAGTCCAAGCACCATTTTCACAAGGCTTCTTCCTTATTCATAACCATTAGAGGGATCACTAGTATCACTTCTATCAGCTTTCATCAATATCAGCATAAATCGAACTCAAATCCTAAATTATGTCCTAACACATAATGATAACATGATAAGGAAGAGTAGGTAAAAACCAATTTTCATTAATGAAAACTAAAAGTAATTTGGACCAAATAGAACTGTATGCAATAAGATTTAAGCTTGAGAAGTAAATGAAGTAGCAAAGCAGTAATTATCCTCATATGCAAGAAGAAATCAGTTTGAGTGGAAAACTACACTGAGCTATACATGACTAAATTTGCAAACAAAAATGGCATACCCCAGGATGAGTTCGTCTATCTGTGGCCACAACTCCTCGTCTCTCAGAACATTTATCTTTGTAGTTATAGTGTTAATAATCTGGATAGCAATCCTTATCTTTGTTGATAACTTTCTTATCAATGTTTGAGTAGCCTCAATCTGGTGAGCTTCTGCACCTCTTTCATCCAAGCGCCTCAACTTTTGACTGTTTCTGTCATGAAGCAACCGCATCTTTTCCTCAGCCTGAGGAATGCCAAAATTAAGTATAAAGCCATGATCTTGAAACATAAAGGCATATATTTTTTGAGGAGTTCATAGAAACAAATATGAGCGTTGTGAAATGGAATTCACGCAATTGTGAAAAGAATTGCTAAGCCTGCATATACGCTAATTCCTGATATAAAAAGAGAATTAGTGAGGCCATACTATGATTTCACCATGGAGCTTTTGTTCCCAAATGTACAGCTTCTGCAATGTAGATGAAAGATTTCCAGTACTCGTTACTGTATCTTCGTCGTATACTAAATCTTCATCCTTCCACATCAATATCGGAATCAAGCACATCATTCTCGAAGCCGCTGTTTCCCAGAACAAAACATACAAGACAATTAATATAAAATATCAACAGCAAGAAGTTCTTACTCAAAAAAGAACAAAAAAAGGCAACCTAAATGTAAAAATTCTTCTTCACCTGCAAAAACTGACTTTTTTCTGAAGTAGGGAAGCTTTCCCACTTCAAGCACTCTAGCGAGGTCTTTAGTCGACTCAGCTGCTCGCTCAAACTGGACTCTTATGTCGCTTGCAACCTCAGATACGTCATGATATCGGCGAGGAGCGGCAACAGTCCTCCTCTCATTATGGGGCTTCTGCACTTCACCACCAACAACATTCTTTTCCACCACTTCCACCTCATCCTTCTTCGGTCTCAAATCATACCGTGAATTCTCCCCTGAACTGCCAACATCCTCTTCTGAAACTGATACACCTTTAATGGAGTAATCAGGCTCAGCGGCGGCAGAGGTGGAAGCTACAAACTTTTTGTCCACATAAGCTTCCTTTATGACTTCGTGCTCATCTTCAAGGTCAGGGATACCTTCAGCTTCCCTCAACTCCTTAGAGCTACTGTCGGATGTGTATGGCGGGTAATATTTCTCAAACGACTCAAAAGGGTTCAGGAAGTCCCAGGCGGACGTTCTGGGAGGGGAAGGAGGAGACGGGGCCTCTCGTGAAGTGGTAGGTTTGGAGTTTGCTTCAGGACCAACAGGAGGCGGCTGAGACGTTGCAGCTGGGAGTGAAGAAGCGCTGAAGAAGCCGCCCATTCCAGCGTAGCCATAATAATTAGGTTGATAGGCGTAGGGA